AGCAAATCATCTGAAAAGTTGAATTATATGAAGAAAAACATGGCATCAGAATTGGAGGAAGACTCATTAACAACCTGCGATATGCAGATGATACAGTCTTGCTTGCTGAAAATGAAGAGGACTTAAAATATTTATTGATGAAGATCAAAGACCACAGCCTTCGGTATGTATTGCATCTCAATGTAAAGAAAACAAAATTCCTCATCACTGAACCAATAAATAACATTCTTATCAACGGAGAAAAGATTGAAGTTGTCAAGGACTTCATTCTTCTTGGCTCAACTATCAACACTCATGGAAGCAGCCATCAAGAAATCGCAGGGGAGGGGGGCACAGGATGAGCAAGATGCACTTGGTGGCCACAGGGGCACCATGCCTTGTCAGCAGGAAGGACTGGTCGGAGTTCTCCACCCTGGCTAAGCAGAGGTCTGTAGAGGATGGGGAGTAGTGGGAACATGAGTGCCACCGGTGGCATCACAGCCTGAGCTCTTCCACCAGCAAAGATGAGTCTCCCAAACTCACCCAAAATGGAGATGGACGTCCTGCGGACAGGGTGCCAAGCATGGAGGAAACAGAGGCCCGGACACCACCACCCCCAGCCTCCAAAAACAAGGACGAGACAGGAGCGGAGGCAGAGGTTGCGCAGACTCCCATCCAGAAGAGGCTGAAGGCAGAGGAAGGCAGAGACAGCTCCAACTCTGGGCGGACTAAGCAGCAGACTCCGGTGGCCAAGAAGGAACTGGATGCCCCACCTCGCCATAGACTGAGCCAGGAGTAGAGAGGTCCCTGGGCCTGAGAGGAGGAGAGCTTGGTGGGCAGAGAGCCAGGAAAGCGGAAGAAGGGGGTGTCCCAGAGAAGACTGCAGTCTCAGAGAAAACCTCCGTTCATGAGAAGACTTCAACATTTGAGAAGAGATCCATCTCAAATGAGAAAACCTCCCTCACAGAAAAGACACCTGGCCCTGAGAAAACACCAATGTCAAAAAAGACAACTGTCTCAGAGCAAAGAACTGACTCAGAGAAGAGGTTGTTTCCAGAAAGAACAAGAATCTTAGAGAAAACACTTGCCTTGGAGAAGACACCAGTCCACAGAAAATCTGTGTCAGAAAAGATGGCTGTCTTGGATAAAAGATCCAACTCAGAGAAGAAACCGGTTCCAGAAAGAACAAGAGTCTTGGAGGAAACATGTGCTTTGGAGAAGACGCCCACTCCAGAGAAAACCTGAGGTCAGAGAAGGTAGCCATCTCAGAGAAAAGATCCATTTTAGAGATGAAATCAGTTCCAGAAAGAACAAGCTTCTCAGAGAAGACATTGACCCC